TAATTTAGCTATGCATACATAGCCAGCATTACATAATTTAGCTATGCATACATAGCCAGCATTACATGCTACCATGTATCCTGGTCGCTTAGCTGTTTATATAATATAGTGGCTAATATTAATTTCACTGCAGCACCGTACCGTACGTGCGCCGAATACTATGAACATGAGAATCTACCAGCAGGACTATTTTATGGAGAATACTTTATAGACCCAGATGGCTCACAGGCGCTTTCTCCATTCAAGGTTCAGTGCATCTTCTCAGAAACACACGGAGGTACGATTTCATCATTTAAATCACACCGGCTTTCTAATTCGTCGCACTCCTGGAGACAATATAATCAAATATGCTATGGAGTCACGGCGTGTTCAATTCCAATTTTTTATGCTATAACTGCATGAACTCCTAGTATTTTTCAAGTTGGTGTAATCAGTGATATATCCGCGATGGGCTGAGATCCTATTTAGATCTATTTTTTCAGATTATGCGTTTTGGAGCAGTAATAAATTATTTAAGTCTAAACGCGAACATTGATCGGTAGCGTCAGGCGACCATATCATGTATCCATGCAGCGTAGCTTTTTCTGCGATGTTGAACAATTGGTTGCCAGGCTCTCTGTTGTTCGTTGATGGCCGATAGTCTACCTAAGATCTAATAATACATTATTATTATTATACATTATTGTACTTAATTGTACATTGTGCATTTTTTTACATTATTGTACATTTTGTACATTATTGTATTATTATTAATTTATTACATTATTTTAGTACATTAGTAGTACATTATTACATTATTACATTATTACATTATTACATAGTATATTATTACATTTTAGTACATTATTTTATTATTAATACATTATTAATTTATTAATACATTATTGTTATTATTAGCTCTTGATCTAACCCAACAAAGCCTGTGCACTTGCCGAATTATGAAATTTTCTCTGTCTCTCGCCTGACCTGTGTGGCCATCTGGCTGGTTATATACACTTGCAGGAATCACTATGATATTTCACGACGCTATGAAGTGTTTACACGTCGCTGGGTATGCGGAGGCATTCTCCTACTCCAGATCAATTAACTATACAGGTAATTAATAACATAGAATAATAAAATAATAAGCACGCACTGTGAACGAAATCGCCCTTCAAACCTATTTGTTTACAAACATGATTAATCCTCAACGGTGATATCCTATTATTTATATTGCCTGAAATTGTTTAATATCTTTAAGTAAGTTTTTGATTAAGTATTAAATTTCCAAGTATATTAAGTATTTAAGTTTTACCAACGAATTCCTTTAATGATTGTTCATCATTGGCGTTATGTAACTTATATTTAGGAGTTGTATTATGAGAGTAAATAGAAATTTTNATATATATATTGATAAATAAATATTAAAAGTTAACATCCAATAAAAAAAGTTTTCGTTCTCACAATATATCATACATGTCCTTTATACACTATGCAACATATTAGGAGTGAATAGCAATTAACAGGAGTGATTTTTTACGCATTATGTTATTTTCATGTTTTGCTAATTATTATTACAGCATGTATATATTTAACGTCAGTGTAAAATAATGGTTTCTATTTATGGTTTAAGATGTCTCACTGCGGCAGATAAGCCAGCTGATCAATATGTCAATCAGTTGTGAGCAGTATCTGAGATATGAGTGCAAAGGAAGTCGTATGCATTATAATACTGATGACGGCCACCTTATCGCGTAAGTCTTAGTTGTTCAAGTTGAAATATTTAGGTACATTTCAAACAGATTGGAGGATTATTTCCAATTTTTATTTTAAATGGTTGTTGCGCCCGCTGTTCCCTTTCAATAAAATCCGCATATGGGAATATACTACTACTAGTTGTAATGTGCTCATGCGCCCCTACTTGTGATCACCTGACAGTGTGGCAATTTTGGGCATCTTAAACGAGAAAACGGCGGAATGCATAGCAGGCACGCATCGTTCGTTCTTGTAGTAGTATAGATATGCAATCGGTGCTCATGCATGTCGTGTGCAATCACGGTACACTTACGTCGATCGTAGCTTCGCGAGATGGGAGTCCGGATATGGTGTCGAACACAAATACTGGCCGGGAGCAGAACCGATGATACCGGAGGAGGAAGAAAGATGCGCTTGCGGGGCCGCAGATGGCCCGAACACCTGTGTCAATCCACATCAGTTGTGAGTTGCTACCTTGATCTGTTATTTTCTATCTATGATTCCTGGCGATATGACATATATTATTGGAACATAATGTTATGGCTCTCTCTCTCTCTCTCTCTCTCTCTCTCTCTCTCTCTCTCTCTGTCTCTGTCTCTCTCTCTCTTTTTCTCTCTGTCTCTGTCTCTCTCTC